TTGTGAGAGTTAACGTGAACGCGACACATAGAAAACTGACTTCTCAAATAATATTATAGAGATTCTTTCTCTATTACGGAATAAAAAATAAGATAATGTGTTCGGCTTTTTGGCTAAGATAATGTGTAGTATCTGTTCTTATCAGTTTAAAGTCATAACATTAGCTAACATGCATATATAAACAAACTCATAGGTAGTTGTTACGGCATGCAAGAGAACGACATATAGGACAATGAGCACACTTAAAAAGCCAGTTATCAATGCAACGGTGGTGAAACTTGTGCATGCAATTTCTAAGCCTAATATAACCAAAACCTACGCTGAGACGTTCGAGACAAATAGGGAAGTCTTCTTCATCTTCATCTTTACCTTTCCTTGAATCCTCCATCTTTTTCCATATTCCAAAACGCGCAAAATCAGTTTGGCCCATGCATCTTCTCGGCTTCTTTCTTTTACTTTTTGGTAAATCTCTTCCACACCTCTTACGTTCAAGGATATAAATGTTTATGGCTATCACAACGGTGCAGTAGCCGAAAAAGAGGCAAATGATTAGCGAGAAAAGCCTCCGACAAATAACTAGATGGGGAGGACCTGTCACTAGATAACAACCCGCATATAAGAAACATCCGCATATAAACCCCGAAGACATCACTGCTTCATATGACAATTGAAGCATCTTAAGCTCTTTCTCTTCTTTCTTTATACGAGAAAGGCGACGAGCCATCCAAGAACGTCGCGCCATCCAAGAATCTGTTCAAGCACCAACCTCAAAAATGTCAGATTTTTTCCATTTAGGTTTTAAATATTCTTCATATCTAACATTCGTTTGATGAATCCGTATAATACCCCTTTATTTTCTCTGGACCCGTTCAGAAAAGAAAAGTTTTTTACGGAAATATAATAATAGTAATAGACTTATCAAAACGACAAAATAAAACATATTGGCTGTGGTGGACTTTAACTAGTACTTAATTTACTGCCTTTATGTTCCTTTATTAATTCGTAAACACTTGGATACTATGGGAAACAAATCTTTTTGTATGATTTGCTTTATATATCTACCTCTGATTTCACTATTTTGTTTTAGTTTAGATTTGATTTGAAGTTGTTTTTCCAAAAAACTGTAAACGTGTGGAAAACCAAATTTAGATACAACGACCTCGTTGGTTGTTGGTCTTTCGTTTTGAGATACCTAAAAATATTAGTCTAAGAAACATTTATATAGACATATGAGATCTTGAAAATATATAGTACTAGCTACTTGAAATAGTTACCTCCAATATTTTGATGTTTCAAGTAGGTGTAAGTTCTAAAAATGGTAGGTATATGATGCCAAACATCGCTTATTAAAAAAAAAACATCGTTTTTTTGTCTTATCATATAATTTTATCAAACTTTAGTTGGATAAGATCATGATTTTCTACAACTTGTAGATCTCTTTAAAACAGAAGACTGGTGAATTTTGATATATATAGTTGGTTCTAGTTTGTCGCCAAAATATCTAAATGGAATTTAATTTGATTTTACATGTTTGGCCAAACTTGAGGTATATGAACCAAACATAACAAAATTAATAGTATTATAACATTTTTTAAATAGTATTACTACCTCACATGAATATCTAAATTAAAAGGTATTAAAATTTAATTATAAAATATATTAGATAGTTGAGAAAATCTACACAAGATAAGATACGAAAAAATTGATAAAAAGGAAACAGCAAGCATCTTACGAAACTGGGAACTGATGATGAAACACAACTAAATTTGGATTTGAGAATATTTGGAAACTCGATTGTTTTACTTCTTGAGTTTTGTGCTTGAATGGTATCCATTTCCTACGGTTCCATATCGATAACTACTTTTGTTGTACTTTCACTGAACAACAATTTACTTCTCAGGGGTTTGAGAAGGTTGCCAACCTCCCTCGAAGATCTTAATGTAGGTTAGGCTAAGAGATTGCATGCATAATATATTCCACGGTAATTGTATTGAGCAATGATCACTTGAACACCTTTTTCAATTCTCAGCAATTATATCCGAGTTCGATTATTATGATATACAGAACTTATGGGATATATGTTTCCAAAAGTTAGCAATATCTGATGAGTTTACTAAATTGAGAAGCTCGCCGTTATCTATATGGAAGGTTGTGTTGGATCATTTCTTTTCACAGATTCATTTTTAAGCCCATTGGCTAATTAAATGATCCAACAGGTTGTGTTATAAAAAAACTGTATCGTGGTTACTTTCATATCAATGAATAATTTATATCGAAAAATGGATAATTAAAAGCTGGAGAAAATGACGTCTGCTATATTTCTCGAAGACTCGAAAGAACGATATTATCGTGCGGAGAGATCGGCAAGTTGTTATGTACTTGACTGCTTTCCAATTTTTCCATTTTATAAAGCTTCTTCCCGTATTAAAACATTTCAAAACGTTAATTATTGTACAATTTTGCTAAATCAACAAGAACGTGACGCACGAAATGGCGTAATTTCCTCCACAGGACCACATGCATCTATAAAATACTCAACACAACGATGTCAACGAATGGTTTGAGTATTATTTACATAAAAAAAACATTTTCCATTGGTGTCAATAATACATTAATACAAGTATATATTAAGCAACGTATACAAGAGTATATACTACTAACTAATCTAAAGAATATATAAATTTTAATTTGATCGAAGTACTCTGACAAAAATAACAATTATTAAAGTTATCGAATATTAGAGTAGTGACATAATCACATGGTGTATTAAACTATTAACTAGATTTCAATCCGCGCAACCGCGTGGATGTTTATTTTCATTTATTTTTATATAAACATTTTGTTTTCATTTGTAAATTGATATATATATATATTATAATATATATAAGGTATGTATATCAATTTTTAAAAGATAATAATTTTTACCATATATTAATTTTCAATGAATAAATTGTTTCAAACTTTTATATGTATTTGTCTATTCTTATATTTATATATTTTGATTAATATTTTATTATTGAACTCTTAAAAATTGATAAAATATCTTAAAATCTTGTAACATTTCTAATTTTTTTTAAAAATAACAAAAAATAAACTTGTAGTTTCATGTTATGGAGTAAATAATTAAACATTTAGTTTCTTTTATTTTTTTAAATAAACTATATAATTTAAAAATCATGTTCATTAGTTTAAGGTAGTATAGATTAATTATTGTTAGAAAATTATGGTTTTTGTTATTTTTAAAATAAACTATTATGATTTTAATCGACAAATATAAAAATAATTAACTTATGCTATTACAATTTAAATCTTTTTAATTTAAACATGTATCTTATTATACTATACATCCAATGGGTCATCTAATTATTGTTAGTACAATAAAAATTTATGGTAAGCTCAATAAAAATAATTAATGATTGAATAATGTAATGTGATAAATTCTAGTAGATGGTCTATTTTAGAATATCACACATTTAAAAGAGTCTTGACTTCTATTTTAATAGATTAGATTAATAATATAATATAATTTGATGTTATACATTATAATAAGGTTTACATAGCTTATAATATTGTTACTGTAAAATTTATAAATTTTGTTAACATTTTTTATTTAACAATACTATTTTACATAACTTTTTTATTTTAGTTTTAAAATTTAAAATATATGAAAGTTAAATTGAATTGGACCTATATGATAGATGTATATATTTTGGGATGTTGTTAAAACATCATAAAATATTTTTTTGGGATATTGGTTTCTGAATAGTTTTAAAATGAATATTGTTTACCAACAAAATCTTTATAAAACTCATTTTTGAAAATGAATCAATTTAAATTTTTATTATTCTATTATTTTAATAATATGTTATAAAGACAAAATAAATTAATTTTGAAATTATATTTATGATATTTAACATTGAAATTAAATAATTTGATAACTAATTTTGTTTTTAAAAGACTCTTAACAAATTTTTTATAGTTTTCTTTAAAATACTTATTTATTTTTCAAATAAGAAATAAATATATTAAAGGTTATTATCATTAAGTTATGTAAATGTGATATTTTTTAAATGATAGTTCAAATTAATAAAATCATATATGAAAAAGTCATCATCTTAGGACTCTCATATGCATAGAGATTACATGTTTTGTATACATGTGTTTTCAGATAATTAAAAGGGCATGATTCTTAAAAGTACACATTGATCTCTTCCTTTTTAAGTTCCTATATTATAGGGAAATAGTTATTATATTCATAATATATGAGATGATTTAATAGTGATGTAAATATGTTATAAATGATATATAATTTTGTAGGAATGGTCCAAATTTTAAAAATCACACATAAATTGAAGTCATGACTTCTGTTTTAATATAATAGATACTATCCGGTTATTTGAGGATTAAATTATAGATTTATAAAATCTTAGAATATAAGTATATAGTTTTTTTTCATTTGTTGCAGAAGAATTCATAGTGCAAATGTTTTTCTTGGTGAAAGAGAGAACGTGCAAGGAAGTAATAATAGTATTCAAACTTTAAAAATTAATTTTCTCAAAGAGAAAAACCTTTTAAAATTAAAGAAAAAGGGCATAATAAACGAGTTTATCACGCGCTCCGTTCGCGAGTCAGCCGACAATTTCGTATGCTGTTTACAAATAAAGTTAAAAAGTAAATTTAATTAAATTGGAGCTTCGCATCTCGTGAATCATTCACGTTAAAATTTGATTGGGAGGTCGTAAAATGACCCACGTGAGTCGCCCACGTGTCGAACAAACGAAAGAAACGCCACATGCATTAATCGCGCTGCACGACGACGCACGTGCTTTTAGACTGCCTATATCCGGTGACGCAACCGGACAAACCTGTAGCTGCCTTTTGCACCAGTAGCAGAAGAGAAAAAAGGAATCTCTTTCCTTTTATTTATTTAATTTTTTGTTAAAAAGCTTTAAATAAAATAAATCGTGCTGTTCACATGCCTCATGCGTTGGTTAAAAAGAGAAAACTCGGTGTGTGTGTCTTAACTTCATCCCACGTTTTTCATTTTTTCTTCCATCACACAAACTCTCTCCTTTGCTCCCTTTTCGGCGACGGCCAAAGCATAGATAGATATTTCTCCACGGATTTGCATAACATGGAGAGAGATTTTCTAGGGTTAGGTTCAAAAAATTCTCCGATCACTGTGAAGGAGGAAACCAGCGATGACTCCAGAGATTCAGGTTAATATTATCTCCCTCTTGAATCTGGTTGATTAAATTCTTAAACGATATTCGTTGATTTGTTGAGATCCTGGATCATTATGTTTTAGGAGTTAAAAAAAAAATTTAGGAGTTACTACTAAATTGAGAATCTGTTTTTCTGAAACCATACTTAATGGTTTGGTCGGGAACTAGATTGTTGTGTCCTGGAGCAGACCACTTTCCTTGACTTCTCGGGAAACGAAATGTAAATTTTAGTAAACCGGTAGAAAACATGTTTTAGGTCGACAGTACTAGTACTATAATTTTAGATCGAGAGCAAATATTAAGCTTGCTTTTCTTGTTACACAATCAAACTCTAGGGAGATTTTTTTTTTTTTTTTTTTTGAAGTGTCTTAAATTGAGAAAAAGTTTAGCTAACTAATTAGTTATTTTACCAAAAAAACGAAAAATGTTGGAAAAGAAGGGTCGAATGTAGACGGGCACAAAAATAAAGTAGAATATAGACGATTGGTTGTAGGTTGAAGATTAAAGTATACAAAAAAAAATTCGAGTTGGATTATCTTTATTAAATGATTAAATAATTGAAGGTACAGTGAGAATGAATAGTTACGTTTTCTCACCACGATGAATAAACAAATCACGTCCACTTTGTTTTCATATTAGCCAAAACGTGCCATTCCATAAAAGTAGTGCATCGACATGTGCTGTGTTATGTTTAAAGTTGAATCTCTCTTTAATTTTAAAATAAAAAATAATAGTGTTAAACTATGCTTACTCATTTCTTATAATGATTTTGGATAAATGTTATTTTATTTGGGACATGGTTTTTAATGTGGTTTTCTTGCCTCGTTGAATTTGTATTCTTTTTACATAGTTGATGAAATCTTTTTCATTGGTTGGGTGTTGAATTAGTCGTCTCTTGATTATTAAATACTCCCTCCGTTTTATATTAAGTGTCGTTGTAGAGAATTTTTTGCGTTACAAAATAAGTGTCGTTTTCGGTTTTCAATGCAAAATTTATTACTTTTATTATGTAATTTGTTTTTCTATTGGTTAAAATATGGTTAGGTGTATGGGTAACTGTGTTTTTATATAGGAAATATGTAAAATTAATTGTTTTCTTAATCCG